GAAAAAGCATAATTTAATTCTAATAATCAGGGAGACACGATAATAAGCACACCATTTAAATTATAGCAGCACGACAATGAAAATAATGCAGCACTGTGATAGCAGCACGACAATAAAAATAAGTATAATATAAAATAATACAGGATACACCTGTGACAATGCAGCTGACGATTTCTATTCGATCCATTTGGCCTATTAAAGCAAGGAATTTATACTGCCCTCGCATGGTTTCCTCCTCACGAATCTACAGCAAATACCGAGCTGTAAATAGCCTAGCCTGTTTGGTCAGTTGGCAAATCAGTGCCTGAATCCACAGCCGTTCTTGCCCGTACCTTAATTGGTGAAGGCAATAATGAGAATTTAATCGAAGCTTGCAACATCAAAAGACTTGCAGCGACAGCAGTTCACTTAATGCCCTATTGATTATTGGACAAACCGAGCCCTTTAGCGGCAACTCGACCAATTTCGCGAGCCTTGCCATGCTTCTCAAAGCTCGTCGCCTCGCCATGATTTCCAGACTGGGATCTCGTGTCGGGAATTTGACAAATGTTGGGTGGGCTCGAATGGATGCAAACACTGCGTGCACGCCACCGGAGCAGATACCGAGTAAAATTGTACTCCGTTGGAAGAGCGAAAAACTTCCAAGGAAAGGATAGTTTTAGCGCATTTTCTCATTTATGGAAAAATGCACTATTGTGCTCGCCATGTCCGTCTGTCTGTCCATCTGTCTGTCCGTCCGTCCGTGACCTCAAGTTTTCGTCGACGAGAAAATGCGCTCTCTGTCACTCACCGAGTGACAGAGAGACTCACCTCGGTACTCACTCACTGCAGTGAGTACCGAGTTTTATTTTTCCGTATTTTGGTGTTCGTACACCGATGGTTTTTGAACGGGTGGTGAAGTGCATTTCTGTGAACATTTTCGTGGAGGATACCGTTTTCTCAAGATTTTTAATTCATTTACGGTTGTGAATCGAATCCAAATATTAGTCTTGAATTATCGTGTGACTGTCGAAATTTATTTCCTATTTTCCTGCAAGCAGTGTTCGCGAAATTAATTTGCTCTATAGTAATATGGGTATTAAACGGTAATCAGGAATGCAAGTAATTCTGCCACATGCATTTCAGATGCAAGTTCTATCAGAAATTCGCATCCATGTTGCTTCAACTTGAACATTAACTCCCTTTGAAGTTATTACTGACTCTGAATTCTTTGCTGTCTTTCTGAATAGAAGCTGCGAAAAAATGTAAAATATAAAATCGTCCCAGCTATTAAATATATCAATCATTATCTTAATTATCTAGCGATGCAGGACACAAAAAAATTACATCAAGTATAAAGTAATATTCTTGTTTTATGAATGGAGCCCATAATTTTACCTGTACTCAAAGTCAAGGGTAAGTTCGAGTGTAGTGTATGATGAAAGCATTCAGGTTATTTTTTGCTCGACTTCATCGTAACTCATAGCAAAACTTCATACTTGAAGTATCGGTCAGCGCAGAAATATCAGCTATAAGCGTAAAACTGCCGCTGCTAGACACAAATTGAATTTTCCCCGCGCAAAATAACGAGAATTAATTACTTTGCAAGATTTTATTCAATTTTCCTGTTTCCTGTGAATTGGAATTTTGCTGCTCTTAACAGTTCTAAAAAAATTCTCTAGTTCGCACATAGTTTCAGGCGTAAATTAAGTAAGTTCGTCTCGGTGAACGTTCTAAACTCTGACCGTTCCGAATTATACGCAAGAAAAACAAATTTTGCCTTAAGTGGAAGTTGCGCAATTTTTTTTCAAGCAGCTGCAACTGAGACTACCTCAAATCTACGCTGACCTCATGGGTAACTTGCGTAGCTCCTACTTAAACCTCCCCCATTGTTAAGGTAGCTTGCACCATTGCTACAGTACCTTGCACCATATTATTACCATAGTACCTTGCATCATTCCTACGGTAGCTTGCACCATAATATTACCACAGTACCTTGCATCATTCCTACGGTAGCTTGCACGGTGATATTACCACATGTAGTACCTTGCACCATTCCTACGGTAGCTTACACCATATTATTGCCACAGTACCTTGCACCATTCCTACGTTAGCTTGCATGATTACCACAGTAGCTTGCACCATTTTCGCATCAGCTTGAGGTGGCCGCTAATTTTGGCCGAAAGCGCGGTGGCTCATCAGTTTGACGTACAATTTCAAGCGTGAGAAAAATTTTGATCGTGACATTTTTTGGAGCCCAGGAAGAAGGATATTTTTGGTCAGGTTCAATTTTCTCGTGAGCCTGGGATCAATCACGGTCGAAGCTGACATGTTTATCACGGTGCCCCGGCGGCAGCTCCTTCATAATCCAAATGGATCGTCTTCTAATATAAAAGTCAGCCAAGATATTACAATCAACCTAGCGATGCTCTCGTGCTTTAGGTCAGTGAATGTCATCATACAACACGTCTTTGGTTACCATTTTGCCTGTGAATGTCATCATTTGCCTGTGAATGTCATTGGTTGTCACCAGTCTTTTGCCTCAATTGTAACCGCATTCTTTTCTTCAGCGTCCGGGTTTAAAAAACTGCTAACTAATCATTTTAATACCAAAAAAAAAATTCCACCACACTACATGTTCCTCTGTCACCACTCCTGTCTTCAACGTGCGGTTCAAACATATCTTAATCTGAAGTGAGAAGTACCAAAATTACCAAATTTCCAAAATTAAATATTACCTATTTTTATCCCGCTTGATCATTCGAGGGAACAATGTCGCATTCTCTTAAAGTCATTAATTGCTAAGAACATAAGCGCCGACGACAAATATTATTTTTCTAGTATAAAAACTACATCGATCACGATGTCCAGTAACCCTTTTCATGAAAAGAAAAACACAACAGAAAAAAATTTTCTCACTCAATATATCTTCAAAAAATCAACAAAGAAAATAACAAAAGAAATATCTTAGATAATGCACGTCGAAACTCGGTTAATTAACGAGTGACTCGGCTCCTATAGAGCCGAGTGACAATCTGTGCAAGAAAATTTTTATATCATATGAATTAAAATACAATCTGCTTACTATAATAAAAATGGTTTTGTCTAATTAGCCAATGCATTGCATGTCTGCCAATGTAAATAATTTTTTATTCTACGATAAGATTCGGAGCAAATTGATCATAAAAGTATCCTACACATATGACATAGCGAATAATTTTTTGCTGTTGTAAACAGCAAAAATTATACACTATGTGTAGGATATATATATATGATCATTAAACAAATAAATATGATCATTAAAGCCATAAACATTAATACTAGTTTTAGGTCTTAAATTTTAACGATGTATCTCCCGCAGATTGAAAACTTCCTGTTAGCGAACACACCAAACAAATATTTATCTGTTCCTTTCCAGCAGTGAATTTTGCTATGAATAATTTCCTGTCCAATTAAAGGCCGCACTTCAAACGAATTCATCGAATCATGCACACAATTTTTTTTGGTCAAAGGCCAGATGTTTTCGAAGATAAAAACTTTTCCTAAAGTTGCAATAAAGTCAAGTTTCGCATTTGCAGAGATATTTTTATCATCAACGACAATTTACATGATTTCACGGAGTGCAGAGGTTTAGGTGTGCGTAGATGTGATGAAGAGAGTTCAGTTGCGTAAATTTGAGTGCGTTTACTTGGTGTTAGACGATGCATCTGCGCAAGAGTTATGCGGGCATCATAATTAGCATGGATGTATTATTTATTTCCATGGACAATTTGCCATCGGGTAAAAAATGTTACCACAAGCTAGAGCTTTGTTGTTATTTGCAAGCTGAATATGTCATTTTAGCGATGCATATCTAGATCACCAAATTGTATGTTTCTAAGCTTATTTATCTCAGTAAATGCTGCTCAATTGTCTAAAACATCATCGCCTCGTAACTCAGAATGGGTGACGATCGGTCAAAACTTTGGTAATAAATTGGCATGCGGAATGCTGATGCTCTAACTCTCTAACATAGAATAGAAAACTAACAAAAATTTGCAACTTTCCATGTGGTCTCTTAACTCTCGTGCATTCATGAAAATGCCAACCCTTAACAAAGCTTAATGAATCTCCGAGTACAACTGTACAATTAAAGGCACAGTTGTACCTGCAAAGATAGAATTTTATCCTCACTCTGTGTTTTCCGAGCATAATAATGTCGGCGATTATGCGACATTTCGCATTTCAATCGATTTTCCTGTCCTATGAAGGTATGGAAGGCAGCGCGCGTCTGTAATGCTCAATGATTGGGCGGTGGTGTGTAAAGAATCGAAATGTTCGGCTCGACTTTCCTGACCTTGAGAATCGTTAGGCTTGTCAACAATCATTTGAAACCAAGCAATTGACGTTGGAATTTCGTTTTCCAGCAATTTAATGTTGAATGCCCAGGCACATGAGCATATGACATCCTACCAAACAAATTTACGTGGTACATCTGCAATGAAAAGACTGAAAATTATCTCGCTAAGTGAGCATGAAATTATTGAAATTCGCTAACCCCTTCCCTGGGCTTTGGTTACAAGCGCTGTTAACGCAGCCCATTTCGAAGAGAGCCCATTACAGTATTGATTAAAAATATGACTTAATTGATTGTGAAATGAAAACAAATGAAGCAAATAAATACTGAACATCCAATTCAGAAACCTACAAAATAAGCAGACAACCAGAAATTAAAATTTCCATGTACATTGAAAACTACTATTTATGTGCGTCCGAGTTCAGAGTTGGTAACGACACCGTCTATATGCAGGTAATATTTACACAAATAAATGCTAGAAACGCAGGCTTGAAGCTACAACGAAGACTTATTGAGACAAACTCATTATATGGGACAGGAATGAGACACTTCTATGTAAAAATTTAGCTTAAATCAACTCTGAATACCATCGTACAACTTCGACTTAAGCTCTTTACTAAATTGTACAGCGAGAGGTAAAAATTTTGTCGAAAATTTCGCTTCTTCCTCGGTGATGAAGACGAACGTTTTGGTGCAGCCTTGAAGTTATAGCTGAAAGATTAAAGACACTACAATATAGAGTCAGCTTATTTGAATAGCGGCATTCGAATTCAGAGGGACTGGATAATTAACTGAGGAATAAAAAGTTACAGGCGTCACAGGCACGCATCGCCGCTAGCAATGGAATGCGGGCAAGAAACAGCTTGTCCTATATTATTCATAATGACGTGTGGACGGTTACAATAAGAAAAATTTTCAGGTTCTTCTAATTGTGGATTGTGATCTTGGGTTGCCAAATAAATTTTGACTTCTAATTTCCCCTTCTCGGTTGTACTATTATAGTGGTTAGTCTAGGCAGGGGCCACCTGAATATAAAATAGAACTCGAATAAGAGATGGCATCATTGTATACGAAGACGCATGATATATATCTATATATGTTAACTTATAGCTATACATGTTAACTTAATGGCACTGTTTGAGCATGCACCAAAATTTTGGAACAGGCTCATCTCGTTTCATTCTTGAATTGTGCCCATATTAATAAACACGTGTAAACATAGCTCCGAGTACGGTAAAGTGAAAATTTAACCTTAACGTAGTCGTGTAGCGCAAAGCTTTGCTCAAGTTTAGCCGTTTCCGTATATTTGTTCTTAAGTGGTTTAAGCTCCTTAGCAAGTGTTTCCTAATAAACGTGCGCGGTATCATAATCCGCTTTGTCCTGGGCGTGTGAACAGATAGATCTGCTTATGCGTTTCCACTACAACGCAAGTTGGTAATCGAAAAAACTTATGAGCACGCAATAATTTAAATCGTCAGCTGAAGCTCGTGTAATTATTTGAGTAACTAAAAGGCCTCGTTCAGTAAGAAAAGAGCCTCCTTTAATGAATGTGTTGCAAAATCCCACACTGATTTATAGAGTGATAGAAGAAAAGAAACTTAGGTGGAGCAATAAATAGTGCTTTCCACGAAGACTACAATTTAGCTGTTGGTTTCGGTAATTTGCTAGACTACAATATAGTTGTTGCCTCAGTTCATTGCTAGACAATAATAAATATTAAATTGCGCGGCAGGCAGTTCTGAAGAGAAGCAGGATGCAGCAGCAAAACGCTGTCGTATCGTTGTAGTCTTGCGTTGTTCTAGCGAGACGATGTCAAATACCAGTGAGCGAGGCATCGGTCGGTTGCTTGGCAAAACATAAAAATTTATGTTCTTGTTTCCATTAATTGTACAGCTATGTCTTCCTTAAACATTTAAGCGGCGTCCGATACTGCGATGTTTTCCATCAAAATCTCTTTGTGCATGCCTACAACTGCCGATTGAACACAAATGAATATTAAATCCGCTGAAGAAAATTCTAAATTCACACAGAGCGATAGAAATATCACCACTCCAACCACGTTACAAATACACGAAGCTATACGCTGAACGATTTCCATTTTTCTTTGAAAAGGTTTGGTACTCACCTCCGGCAGGCGAGTAAATGTTGAGGTAGAGACAATCCTCACTCTGGTTGCGTAAGTAAGGCAGCAGACGTCTAAGATGGTGGTAACGTCCCTGACTCATAGTTTTAAGAGCCTCGGTCTTGTTGCGAATGTCGGGTAATCTCTGGGGGCAGACAGGCCCTAAATGCTGGGCAACACGCAAGGCACTCCACGGCGATGGAGTACCAGGGGGCATTAGACGCAAGTTTCCCACTGGAGGTTCGGCGTATGGAAGTCCTAAGAACACTTCGGCGTCACCCATGCCGTCTACGCCGATGCTGTTGATCATGCCGCGCACTGTACCGTATTTGGTTCTTATCACCCGTGGGCTGAGGTGGCCATTGTGCCGTGATCCCTGGCTCACCTCCATGTAGTTCAGGGAAAGAAGAAGTGCCAAGACACCAACGCGTTGCATGGTAGGACACCACTGGATAGATTTTCTCCTATCCATTCTAGAGTTAACAATGGAAGACGTGATACAATTGGATGACCAAAGGGCCCATCTGGATAACTCTCCAACTGGTTAATGTACGACAGCCATAACACCAAATCTTAGTGGATCAGAAATGAAGAGAAAAATATCGTACACATTCCTATCAATCACTGATGTTTCAATTTATTTTTCAATTTCAGCTGCTTTATAAATTTTGAATCGTAATCACATTGTGACTTGTGTTACTAAGAACATTGTGACTTGTGTTACTAAGAACCAAGATCAAAAGGTTCACTGACTAAACTGAGCGCAAAAAGCACGCATTTATGCAAACGAAAAATTCATAATTTAACGACACAAATCACTTGTTCTTTCGAACATTAACCAACTTATTGGCAAAATCGCGCCGCGATACTTCACAATATCTCTAGGACTGTAAACACTTTAAGTTGACGAGCCACCGGAAAATCTGTTGATGGCAGATGGGTCAATTAGACACTAGTTAGTATCGATCACGGCGAAGTACGAGACAATTTAAAGAGCACGACGCAAGGCTGCAGCAAGCTACGCGAGCGTCCAGCACTTCAGATGCAACTGACAGTCTGGCGCTGCCGGGACCTCAGCCTCCCTCTCCCTGCACGGCGGCAGCGTCCGGACCTCGGCTGGAACTGATGTGGTCGGGCGTTGGGGGCGAAATTCTTCACTAATGCTTATAGTTGAAATTTTTAACTATGCTGAGAAACCAAAGTCGGTTTAATTATGGCAGAAAATGGCGACTCCTTTCAAAGGAATGTAGACACCTTAGTACTTTCTATAGCAATGACAAGCCGTTAGGATAAGTTTTGCTTCCGCTTCTGTTTGGCGAATGCGATAGGATTAAGTTGCGTTTGGCATAACTCCGAAATGAAGAGCATAATAGGGTTTACGCGAGCCGGAATTTTCAAGGCTGCCATGTTAAAGAAAAAAGAAATGATCCACTGTCAATAAACTAAATAATTGACGGTCGTCACTTTCCAATCCAGCTGAGACTTCCCTATACTGAAAGATTTTTATAATCAGGTTATACGTAAAAAGAAAGAATTGTCGAGAAACAAAGTACTTCAAACTCCTCTATCTCCGCATGAGCTGGTCGAAAGAAAACGAATTTTCCTCCGTAAGCGACTATTATTAAAGGACGAGTTTTATAATCATACTCGAATTGACTCGAATTGACGGCCAGTGATCAACATTTCCGGTATTACTCTCTGAATTATATGATTGAATAAGCTTCGCTCAAGGTTCATCAGAAATAAGGAACAAGTAAAATAATCAAGAAAGAGCTTCGAAAGAAAATTTCAGAGCAAGACTTCTTACGCGCGTCTGACCTACATGTGACGTATACAAATACATGATAACCATTCACACCGTGTATGCGAAGCCGCTGCCTATTACGAGGTAGTATTCATTCACGATCCGCAAAATAATGACGTCGTACAAATAGATGTAACTTGTTGACACTATACTTTAAGCCCGACGAGCCATACTAACATTTAAATACCAATACACGTCAAGAATTAGAAATACTAGACGAACTAGACTTTAATGTCTGTCCATGGGTCACAGTCGAAATCGTCGCAACTAACGTGCGCTCATTCGTCGTGTTTATATTCAAAGCCTCACGAAACTTATTATGCCTATAGGAAAAATGACTTCTTTCGAGATAGTTGCAAAAGACACCACGCACGACACATCGTCGCTGTCGCTGCGCTCGCAGCTTTGCCGTCGATAAGTGCCAACATCTCGGACAAATTTACGGCCGTACTTGCGGCCGGTCTCGCGGCCGGACTCTGTACCTGAAATATCTCCGAAAGTACTGAACGTAGCTCGATGAAACTTGGTACACATATTCATTATGGCCTAACGATGATGTCAAGCTCGTGACAATTTTTTAAATATCGCCTTCATTCGTGAGTTATATGACGAAACGTGCCGAAATTTGCAATGTACCAGAGATTTCTTCTAAAATACTGAACAGATTTGAGCGAAACTTTGCATATAGAAACCTAACCTCCCAACGGTGATGTTTAGCTCGTGACAATTTTTTCTATTTTGCCTTCGTTGGCGAGCATTTTTCTCTTTTCCCTCATTCGTGATTTAAACAGCAAAATTGTGCTTAAATTCGCAGTGTACCAGAGATTTCTTCTAAAATACTGAACAGATTTGAACGAAACTTTGCATATAGAAACCTAACCTCCCAACGGTGATGTTTAGCTCGTGACAATTTTTTCGACTTTGCCTTCGCTTGCGAGTTATACGGTTATATGGGGAAACGACCGGCATATCTCAGGCCGATTTTTGAACTTGCATTGACCAAGAGCCATACGTAAAACCGTAAAACTCGCAAACGAAGGCAAAATCGAAAAAATTGTCACGAGCTAAACATCACCGCTGGGAGGTTAGGCTTCTATATGTAAGTGCCATAGGCTCTCTCTACACAGGCGCTGAATAAAATAAAAATCTTGATTTTTTCGAGAATCAAAATTCTACAAATTAAGAAACAAATATTGTCTTTTATCAATAAATATTCTCGATTGTTATGAATTTGAGGTATCTTTATGTGAAAAATTAGACTGAGAAAGTTAGTTCCCCAGAAAAATTAGAACGGAAAATATTGCAAAAGCATTCTGTTCGCGTGAAAAAAATCCAAATATATTTAACTCTCTAAATTAACTATTATCCTTGCATCTAATGGATTGGAAAAAGATTATCTTCACGCCTGTTTTTTGTTCAAACCAACACCTCACACAAAGAAGCATTCAATTTCCAAAACGCAATTTTTTTTTCAAATTATATCTGCAAGTGTGAGTGATTACATGAATCTTCGCATCTTTTTCATTAACTTCGAAGTTTTCTCATTCTAAATCACACGAAATAAATGCATTGAAAATCTGTGAAACACCGTTAAAAATAGGTGGCAAATTAACAGAGAATTGGAAAAATAAGCAATTATCAATTCAAAATTTATGGTAACGAAAAATATCGACTACCCTGCAAATATTACTTTCTTCATCATATCATCCTTCGCAAATTTATTTGAAGTTCAATGAATCAAGTTTCCTGTCCGTTTATGCTGCTTTCTGTCCTTAGCTCTTCCTTGTATGTTCTACTGTTGCAAGATATTACTCCAGTTGTCTCTTTCCTTGCCACTTCATTTAAACCAATGTATAAACCCACTGTATGTCCAAATTCATGAGTAAACATATAAACTGCTAATACCATAGTATGTTTTGAAGTGAAATCGGCCTCTAGCGCAGAACCCTTGAGCCGGTTCACATATGCCGGTTCACGAATAGTTCTGAACTCAACTTTACAGATGCAAAGCAAGCCATGAAGTCTCATATACGTATCCACCATCCGTAAGTCAATTCTCTCTTCGGATATTTAATATTATTGTTATTTATAATTACTTGATGAAGCACTTGAACAATTGATATAGTCTATTTCATAATTTCTCGCGAAGCACGCACAAGATGATAACTCCCCTATGGCCCAATATGATCTGAATAAAATAATAAGACTGTTCATACGCGAAACTTGATATTAATTTTCAACAAAGTTTTAAATATGTATTATAAATGGAATTAAATTTTATCAGAATTATTAGATTTTTGTGTTCTTCATAAGCATGATCATAGAGGTAATGATAGTGTATTTTTGTAATGTTGATAGTTTGATTTGGAAACCGACCCAGTCAACTTGTGTGAGTAACTGATTTTGATGTAAGTGATTTAAAATCTTTAAAGATTTAAATTAAAAAAAATGCAAACGTACGATGCAAAGGATGCAAATTTAAAAGTTAAAATAGTAACGATAAATATTGATCCCCATAGTTGCACTAGACAAGCAAGAGCTTTTCCTAACTTTCAGTTTTCGATTATTTTTTCATTTCAATGGACTCATTCACATTGTGTTCTTGACTGAACCTGGTGGCATGCAGTCCAAGTCTCATCACTGTCATGACTGAATTAAATTTTAAAATACATTTTACATGAATGAAAATCTTGATATGAGTAAGCACTTTTTTTGGAAGGCAAGAAGCCAAAGTTTGGACGCAATGTCTCCTCTTGCATAAGAAGGACTTCGGGCTCTTCGATTTGACGGGTGTTGCGTGCGACACATTTTCGTGCGACACCAAACTTCCCCATGGCTTATGTTCAAACAACGGAAATTACCAAGGAAGCATTTTTGCCGACCATTCCTCCCGGCTCTATCCTTCCCTCGCAAACTCTCTATATCTTTCTTTGTCGCTCTGTCATTGGACTTCTCCATCAATGTATTGTTATATCTGTATTTTATGCTTCGATCGACTTCCCAACGAATGTGAATGCATTCACAGTATGAAGAAATATACATGGACCAAGTCCAATGAAAACTATTTTGGCTCACAAATATCGGCACTTTTTAATGAATGGAAACACGTTTGAATTTTGAATTTTTCATTTCATTATTGTTTTAATGTTCGTGTCGGCTTCAGAATCCTGTATCTTAGACACAAGTCTATAATGTGGAATGTGTCAGAATTTCTGTTTGTATTCTCTTATGCTTCGCTTTTTGAGCTCAACTGCTTGAATGAAATTCTTTCCTGGTTTTACTTTTCTCGTAATGTCAAATTCAACACGTGGCATGGCGCATCGAGACCACGTCTGAGATTTCTTAACTTAACAGGACGAATTCTATCGTCTTTTATCGGAGCTTCTTCGCTTTATACCGTCGAAGTAACTCGTCACTAGAAAAAGAAATCATAATTCGTAGCTGCACGATTTCTGGTTGTTACCACGCAGCAAATAGTGTGCAAGATATCAAATACAGAATCATCAGAATGTTGATAAAATAAACCCTAGTTCATCTCGTATTCATTTTATGCGCGGATCATTACGTACTGCATCAGATTTCTCGTCATAAATACGGTTTACATTAACGTGGTGCGTAATTGCTGTTAAACAATGGCACATATTAATACCCAAAATATATGTCGAACACGCGTTACCTAAAATTATTGAAAATTTATTGCTCCACCTTGGGTAATATCCCTGAAATTTTGGCTTTCAATAAATGCTATTAATTTACGAAGCATCAGTCATAGATCATGGGCGCACTTCAGTATCTCAGTCGAAGAAGTTGGAATGCAGTCTTCTTTTTTAGTTAAAATTAGAGAATTTGTTCTGACCTGAGCGCATGTTTGGGCTCAGGGAGCTAATGAGCGGCTCA